AAAATAAATAAACGTGAGCTATACACATATTTAAGAAAAATTCATAAAAACAAGGATAATTTACTCAATGTTTGGTGAATCAGGGAGTGCTGGGTTAAATTAAGGAATAAATGTTGGCAAAACAAACATTGTAAGCTTCACCTGCCTGAGTTCAAAAGCAATCACAAATATGGAAGGCTTGCTGAGCACTTTCACATGGCATTATCATTGTGCATCATATGATTATTGGATATTTACAGATTTTTATTTGACAATAATTTGTATTCATTCATTCATTTTCCACCCTACTTCTTCCAGTTCCAGGTCTCAGGTGGCAGAAGCCCATTCCGGTAGCTCTCAGGGCACAAGGCAAACACCAACCCTAGACAAGATGCCATTCCATTGCAGGGCACACTCATAAACACACCCACACTCATTTATACTGGGACCATTTAGACATGCTGATTCATCTAACGAGCACATCTTTGAGATGTGTAAGGAAACCAGAGTTCCCAGAGAAAACCCATGCAGACATGGGGAGAATGTACTAACTCCACCCAGACAACTCCGGCTGGAAATTGATTTTTTTCTCATCAATGTTATAAGGAAAGGACATTGAATTGAATGAGACGACATTATTTGAGGACCTGTAGTCAACAAGGCAGACACAGTCCAAGTCAATAAGGAACGCTCAATCTAGTGGCAAACCAAGCAAAAAAATGAAAATTAAAGCCATGGGCTGGGCTTGGTGGCTCATGCCTGTAATCCCAGCACTTTGGGAAGCCGAGGCAGGAAGATTGCCTGAGGTCAGGAGTTGGAGACCAGCCTGGCCAACGTGGTGAAACTGTCTCTACTAAAAACAAAATAAGGCCGGGCGCAGTGGCTCACACCTGTAACCCTAGCACTTTGGGAGGCCGAGGTGGGTAGATCACCTGAGGTCAAGAGTTCAAGACCTGCCTGGACATCATGGTGAAACCCCGTCTTAAAATAAATAACAAAATTAAAAATTAGCTGGGTGTGGTGGCGGGTGCCTGTAATCCCAGCTACTTGGTAAACTGAGGCAGGAGAATCGCTTGAACCCAGGAAGCAGAGGTTGCAGTGAGCCGAGATCACACCACTGCACTCCAGGCTGGGGGACAAGAACGAAAGTCCATCTCAAAAAAACAAAAATGCCCTGGTTTGGTGGTAAAAGCATAAGGCCTGGGCAGAGGGTTTTGAGGGGAGGGAGACAATAGTGGCATCCAATCCACTGGCAAGAGAAGGTTTGGTTTCTGTCTGGAAACCTCATTGAGGAAGCAAGCATAGGAAAACAATGAGAAGAAAAATGCAGGAAAAAAACAGGAGGCTGTGGTGTATTATTGAGTGTCACATTGGCAGTTGTTGAAAGTTTATCAATCCCAGACTCCAATATTCCTAACAGGCCCGAAAGCCAGCCCCAGGACCACTTGAGCATAGGTCCTCTCTTAAGGCAGGGAATAACAGCCCAGGACCCTTACTGTTTCACAGGACTTTTTTTGTGTGTGTGTGAGACAGAGTCTTGCTCCGTCGCTCAGGCTGGAGTGCAGTGGTATGATCTTGGCTCACTGCAACCTCGGCCTCCCGGGTTCAAGTGATTCTCCTGCCTCAGCCCCCTTGAGTAGCTGGGACTACAGGCACCTGCCACCACACCCAGCTAATTTTTGTATTTTTAGTAGAGATTTCACCTTTTAGTAGGGGTTTCACCTTGTTGGTCATGCTGGTCTTGAACTCCTGACCTCGTAATCTGCCTGCCTCGGCCTCCCAAAGTGCTGGGATTACAGGTGTGAGTCACTGCAACCAGCTTCATAGGGCTTTCAAAGAATCAAGGCCCCTGCACCGGGAAGAGAATAAAAGGCCTACCCAAGCAGAGGCCTGGGGTTCCTGCAAATTCTGTAGCAGCCTACAGGAGCTCCCCTCACACCTTGCCCCTTAGCTAGGCTCAATCATAAATAGCTCACTGGTTTCCAGCCTGGGATCTCCCAATCCTGTAAGAGGCCCACCTCATCACTCTGACCTGCTCTCCTCCTGTAGCAGGAAGGTGGGTGGCTGTGAGGGGCCTGAGAGGAGGGCATGAGAGGGCGGAAAGCAGCACTGCTGGGAGCCTGGCCTCTGTGGACTACATTACCCACAATCCTAGAGCATAGCTCTGCAGAGAAGGCTGCTGGGGGCCTGCAGCCCTAAGTGGGAAAGCAAGGCAAGAGGCATCCTAGGCTCTAAGTGTACAGCCCAGGTTCTGAGACCCAATTTTTTCCCAAATCTACCTCCTGGACGTTTGAGATTCTACAAGCAGTAAGGCTATCTGAAGCTGAGGAGACCCACAAGGCTCCTTAAATTTTGGCTTTATTTGCAGTCACTGTGTGTGTGTGTGTGTGTGTGTGTGTGTGTGTGTGTGTGTGTGTCGTGCCTGGAAGCCTGTGATTTTATTCTGGATCAAGCCCAGAGAATGCTTGGCCCTAAAAGCCCCTTCTCTGACATATTCTCCCACTCAGCCCCAAACTCTGAGCTTTTCTTTCCCTGCCTTACCTGTGGCAGAACAATCACAGGCTCACAGGCTGGTCCAGCTGGCCACATGGGAACTTGCTTGTCTCCTCCTCAGCAGAAAGCTGGACTTTGTGACAGCTGTGCTGCTGGAACATAGTGGAGGGGGCTCCGGAACTGCTGCTGGCTCCCTGTGTGCTGAGATCCAGTCCCTGTTTGTGACTTTTCTCGTGGCAGATCACATCAGGGTAACCATATGGCTCAGCCAGGTTTGTTTCTGGAGGCGCCGTCAGGAGGGCCTGTAGGGACTTGCTGGTTCTTCCAGTGGTGGATAAACCAGCGCTGTCAGGCTGAGCAGGAGAGGCCCTTCTGGGTGATGGGAGCGGCCAAGGGCAGTGCTCAGCCCCAACTCACTCTGGGTGTACACCTGCCCCAGCTGTGGCTCCCCTCACCCCACCCTTCCAGCTTTCTCCTGCAGAGTCAAACTCAGACCACAGGGAGCTGTAGCAGGTGGAGAGGTTGGGGACCAGACCTAAAGTCAAAGATGCCTGTTCCAAGGTGAAAAGGGACAGTGGCAGTCCTGAAAACAGGATCCTTCTCTTTCCTCTCACTCAGATAACTACACCTAAATCAACGCAGCAGAGGCTGTTGACCTATGGGTGGGGATGGGAAGGATTTCCAGGAGGCCAGAAGTGTGAACCAAGTAAAGGATGCGTAGCACTTCTTTCTGCCAGAATAGTGTGAGAAGGGCATTCCAGGCCGAGGGGGCAGCTCGGCTGAAGCGAGGGAGGTACAAGACACGCAAGCGGGGAGGAAGGGAGAGGTCAGGGAAGACCCACTTGTCAACTGCTCGGGGGAGAGCGACCCCCGAGGCGCAGAAGCCCGCGTGGCTGGAGGTCCCGGGTTGGGGCCGCTGAACGACCCTCCAGCAGGGCGTGTGGTGCTCCGGGCTGAGGGAGAAAAGCGGGGTAAAACACCAGCAGGGGCCGGCGGAACCCCCAAGTCGGCGCCTCCCGCGCTGGGCCAGGCCGCGCGTCCCCGTCCCTCCCGCCGCCGCCGCCCCCTCCCTCCCGCCGCCGCCGCCCCCTCCCTCCCGCCGCCGCCGCCCCCTCTTTGGCAGCAGGTCCCCTGGCCGCCGGCTCCGGGGTTGGGCGGGCCCAGAGGACCGGGCTCCCCGCCCGCGGGCCGCCTGCCAGCCGCGCCGGGAAGGAAGCGCCTTGTATGGGCCTGGGGACGGGAGGAAACGCCTTGTAGGGCTCGGGGAGGAAGCGCCATACATGGCGCAGGGCGGGCGGGGGCGGGCCGGGGGCGGGAGCCCTCCCGGGAAGGAGCCGCTTCCGCCGGGGCCTCTGCAAGCCCGGGCCTCGCAGCTCGGGCGGGGCGCAGGGGCTCTGGGGCTCTACGCGGCCTCGACGCCTGCGGGCCCGGCGGGAATCTGCAGGGCCGCGCGCGCTCTGTGGCCTGGGCTGCAACGCCCCTCCCGAGCCTGGAGTGAAACGAGAGGCAGCGGCGGAGGCCCGCTGGCGGCCCCGGGCCCTTCCAGTTGCGGGCTGGAGGAGCGGTTTCCCAGCCGGCTGGACGTGGCCCGTTAGCCTCTCCCCAGTCGTCTCGGGCCCGGGAAGCCTGTACGAAGGGAAGAACGAGGAGCGGACGGCTTCGGGAGAATCTTTCCAGAAGAAAATAGGGCACCCTGAAGGTCTGGAGTTCCAGTTCAGACAGCAGGGTTCCAGCCCCAGCGTCTCCCGTTGCCAGCCGGGGGAAGCTGGGCCGGGTACTCACCTTCTCTGAGCCTGTGTCCTCATCTCCTCCGTGAAATGGGAGTGAGAGTCCCTGCTGTGCAGGTTTGTGGTGAGAATTAAAAGAAATGGGGGCTGTGTCAAGTGCCTGACGTGGCGTGGGTGCTTCGGCAGTGCCAGCTCCTCAGTCCTCTGTGCCCCTTCCCGGTTCAGGAGTGGGGGCCATTCTCCCTGGAGGCCCTGCTCCTTGAGGGAGACGCCCCTCCTTAGGCATCTCTGGGGCCTCCTCGTCAACACTGGGCCTTCACCAGAGGCAAGCCTGTGGCCCACCGCCCAGTGACCTGCTAGCCCTGCCTGCTGCCCTCCTCTGTGTACCCCATAGCATAAGTAACCTCCTAGGCTGTCCTGCCAAGGCAGAAAGAACCTGGAAGAAGTCGAGGTTCCCATCACAGGCAGAAACTGGTATCTAGGACACCGTCCCTCCCACGCTTGCTGTCAGTACCACACCCACACATTTCACCAAGAGATGGGTATCAATCTCAGAGAAGCATTTCCCAATCCTCTCTTGCTGGCCCGGCCCTGCCCTCATCAGTCCTGCCTGTCCCGGAGTCCCACTGAAATCTAACCTGAATCTTCCTGTTCCATCCTGCTGAGCAGCAGTCCGCAGCCCCTGATGCATTCCAGGCAAGTTTGTGGACACACAATAGATGCGTGTCACCCACGGCCTTGTTTCCTTTCATCCCTGGCAGGCAAGGAGGCTGTCGTTGGCATGGTAACCTTCCCTATAAAAGTTGCAGCCCTCAAGGATGTTTTTCAATTCCAGCAGGGACACAGCTCCTTCCCCACATTGTAGACCACAGGGTGACATGTAGCTGTGTCATTCTGGCCTCCCCCAGAACGGGGACATGGAGCTGGCAGCACAAAACGATGAGTTTGTGGAGGGGAGCAAAAGGCTTAAGGGAGATGTCGATTGGATCTCTGAGAAACAGGTTCCTTTTGCCCTATGCGCTGATCCTCTGCTGCCCAGAGAAACCAGTTCTGAGGCCCAGAATATTTCGGGAGACTCTTGGGATCTCATGGTGGAGGATGAACACATATCTTCACTAGAACCAGGCCCCTGACAAATGGCATGGTGCCCAGGGCTTAATTCCATAGAATAAGCTGATAAATCATAAAGCCTCCAGAATCCAGCGATTTCCTTTCTCATCAGTTCCTCTGTGGCATAAATGAATATTTATTAGCCATCTCCCATATCCCAGCTTCCCGTACATTATTTCAACTAATTCTGCACACAGTTCCTACGAGGGACATATTACAACATTCATTTTACAAATAGGGAAACTAGAATTTGGGGAAAGATCTTAAGCAACTGGACCAAAAATCAAAGGGCCATAGAGCGGCAGCACCAGGGCTGGGACCCTGTTCTTTTCCACTAGTCCTGTGTTCCTTTGCATTTGCTTCTGTGCTACAGGTAAAGATAGCCTTCCCCACAGGCCCCAAGGCACTGCCTTTCTAGCGAGTCCTCAGCAAGGAAAGGCCGCATCAGCGTCTGCCTCTGGGCCCACGTGTTCCTATGTGGCCCTGCCTGGCACTGCAGCAGCCCAGCAGCCCCAATCCAGAGGCTTCTCCCTGCCAGCTGCCTTGTCTCCGTCATGGAGTTTCCCCGGCAGAGGGCAAGCGGAGGGAAAGTGGTTCCCAGCTGCCAGCTTCACTAGGCAAAATCACTTTCGAGCCAGCCCCGGCTTCCCTCAGTCCCTCCAGAGGAGCACATTCAGCTCCCCCGCAAAAGGGAGGTGGGGAGAGACACAGAAAAAAAAAGGGGAACTTCCATGTCTTTCTCTCCCTGGCTGGGAAGTTCTTGGCTTTGAGCTGCCACTCATCTTGTAGGTGGAGAAGATTAATACGGATCCTCTCGAGATTACAGAAGTCTCTAAAATGAATCCTGGGCAGAGCTTTGTCCAAGAAAGATGCTCGTTGTAAAGGCCTGTGTCTGACTGCGGTGGGAGGGGAGAGGCAGGTGTCAACAAGGACAGAGACCCCTGGGTCTCCTGCTCTCCCATGTGCTCTCTTCTGAGTGCATTCTTCTTTCTGTGCTGCTTCTGTCCAAAGAGATAGGAAGGGTCATTTGCTGGCAAATGCAACAGGGTCAGAGAGAAAGCAAGAGGAGGAGGAAACTACCAGGTTTTGACCTTGAGCAAAACAGGGGAGGTGTTGAGAGTGTTAATAGTTAACATTTACCTACAGTGTGTCAACCACTCTTTATTTATTATCTCATTTAATCCCCGCCTCAGGTATCTCTGTTTTAGAGATAAATAAACTGAGGCATATGGACTGTTCAATAACAATAACTCCTAATTAATGTGCGAGTTGGCCATCCTGGGCAACATGGGGAGACCCCATCTCTAACAAAAATACAAAAATTAGGCAGGGTGGTGGTGCATGCCTGTAGTCCCAGCTACTCAGGAGGCTGAGGTGGGGGGGGATTGCTTGAACCTGGGAAGTCAAGGCTTCAGTGAGTCAAGATCTTGATAATGCACTTCAGCCTGGATGACAGAGTGAGACTCTCTCTCAAAAAA